GAAAAATATCACATATAAAAGAAATTATTTTCTTTGATTTGAGGAAGACGAAAATTTACTTCCTCAAAGAAAATATTTTCCTTCGAAAAAATGAAAATTAAGCATATTTTGAAAAGTTAGAAAATATTTTCAAAATTTTCAAAAAAAAACGACAATCAAACATCAAAAATAAGAATTTGAGTGGAAAACTGATACTTTTCTTGAGAAATAAATGCAATCAAACACCCCTTAAATTCAGGTGTCTCCAATTGAGATTTTAATGAATTTTATTAAAATATAGGCTTTCCTAATTAAATTTTAATATATTTCAATGAAATTCTTTAAAATCTAGGTATCATCAATAACTTGTATATTTATAAGAATTTCATTAATACAAGAATTTCAAAAGATTTGGATGGATTTCAGACTTAAAAATAAACACGATAAAATCTTTTGAAATTTTATCATTTATGGTATTCTTATTAATTATATATAAATTTATGAAATTAATTAGAATTTATAATTTCTTAAAATACATTAAAATCTTAATTGATGACATTGAATAATTTAATGAAAGTTTCGAATGAATTTAGGTGGATTTTGCCAAGATCTTCCCTAGTCAATTATGCCATTCGGAAAACTAGGCACGAAATTTCCATAAAAACCATATGGGTAAGACCGTAATATCAGCACATACCAGTGGCATATGTTTATTCCTCATCTCTATAAATAAGGCATCCCATACCAGCTCTAACTCTCACGAGAAGTTTCATACCATCTTCATTATTAAAATCAGAGAAATTCGCGTGAGCGTTTATTTTCCTAGGGTTTCAATTCCGTTCAAAGATCCGCCTCATTTATATTTCTGTAAGCGTTTTATATTTTAATTAAAATTTATCTTTTGATAATGTACGAATGAGATCAGAATTGTCTGATTTGTGTGGTATTGTTGTTTGTAGGAATTGTTGAAAGCCGATTCTGATTTTTGAGGGATTATTTGGTTATAAAATTCAAATCTTGATATTGTAAGTAAGATTTACTTTTTTTCTTTTTTTATTAATTTTAACGCTTTGCGTGATCTGTTTTTCCTTGTGTAGATCTATGATTTTTACTATTCTATTGTTGAAAGATTGTTGTTTGCTTGTTCCTGTTGTGAACTTTATTGGAAAAACGTACCGGGATTTATAGATCTAGACATCTAGTGATTCCTGACTTTCGAGGAAGGACATAATCTTAGGAACCATTTTTAGTTATATATTAGGGGGCCTGTATCTTCTGTAGGATGTTCCATGTATGCATGGATGTCATGTTTATCTCATATATATTAATATATGTATAGATGTGTATTTGTCTGTGTTTGTGCTCTTGTTTCTTGTATTTCTGGATCATTTTTGTATGTGGATGTGATTTTTCTTTTACCATTCTTTTTTGTTAAAGAAAGAATGGTTTATATACTGATTCTGTCTGAGGACCCTGGAAGATATAAGATATAAAATCTAAATTTGAATAGGTTTGGTTCGATTTATGCACTCCATTCATTCAATTCATTCGAAAATTTAATAGTGATTGACTATCAACTTCTGGTTGATTGTTGATTATTAACAATTCTTTTCAAAATTTCATCCCCAAAAAGTTAAAGGTAGGCAATTTTGTTGTAGGATTATGCATCTAAATATCTAATAATATGGAAAAAGGAACACAACATTTTCTACATGAATCAATAGCGACGTGTTAGTAACATATGATTTGTTTCAAATTTGGTATTGTTTTCTTTCTTTTTTGGGAATCTGTTTGGAAATATTTCCTTGCAGCACCATCCGATGAATGCATTTGTCGATAATTACACATTTTTTGACATTTCCAAGGCCCTTTTTGTTGTTGTTTTACTTGATAATTATACTGTGACACTCATTTTACAATTAGTTCTGATTGTATAATTCTTTATTGATGATTATGCAGCAAAGAAATTGATGATCTAATGGAGTCAAAAGGTGGGAAGAAATCTAGTAGTAAATCCTTATCATACGACGCTCCCCTAGGATACATCACTGAAGACGTTCGACCAAACGGTGGCATCAAGAAGTTCAGATCTGCTGCATACTCTAACGTAAGTTTTTGTGTTCCAACTATGAAAGTTTTTGATACTGAGTGTTCTGGAATTTTCAATGAAATGACACTTCTCATGCTGAAATTTCTATTTTCTCTTTGCAGTGCGCTCGCAAACCATCCTGAGATTCCTCAACTAGTCTCCTGATCACGTCTTTGGACGTGTTAAAAGTGTAGTGATAGTAGATTTCGTTTTTTGTTTGTTCAAGCGCTCCTTTTCTTCATTCTTCGCTGCTTTCCTGTTTGCTCTTTTCGATTCTCTAAGCAATTCTCGCTCATAGAAATGGCTTTGCCCGTATCTGCAATTGGTTTTGAAGGTTTTGAAAAAAGGCTTGAAATCTCATTTTTTGAGCCGAGTGTCTTCATTGATCCTGAAGGGAAGGGACTTCGTTCACTTTCCAAAGTACAATTGGACGAGATTCTTCAACCTGCCGAGTGTACCATTGTTTCTTCACTTTCAAATGAATATGTTGATTCATTTGTCCTCTCTGAGTCGAGCCTTTTTGTTTATCCTTATAAGATAATCATCAAGACCTGTGGGACAACAAAGTTGCTACGATCAATCCCACCTATTTTGAAGTTGGCTGGCTCCCTCTCCCTTTCAGTACAAGCTGTGAGATACACCCGTGGAAGCTTCATTTTCCCTGGAGCTCAGTCTTATCCCCATCGCAACTTCTCGGAAGAAGTTGCTGTCCTAGATAGCTATTTTGGGGAACTTGGTTCAGGCGGCAAGGCTTATGTTATGGGCAGTTCCCAGAAACAACAAAAATGGCATGTTTATTCAGCTTGTGCGGGATCTATTGAAACTAACCCTATTTACACATTGGAGATGTGTATGACTGGTTTGGACAGGGAGATGGCTTCTGTTTTCTATAAGAGCGACTCAAGCTCTGCAACGTCGATGACCAATACATCTGGTATAAGAAAAATCCTCCCTAAGTCTGATATATGTGATTTTGAGTTTGAGCCTTGTGGTTATTCCATGAATTCCATTGAAGAAGCTGCAATTTCTACTATTCATGTTACCCCAGAAGACGGGTTTAGTTATGCAAGCTTTGAAGCGGCTGGGTATGATTTGAATAATGTGAATCTGAGCATGCTGATTGAGAGGGTTTTAGCTTGCTTCCGTCCAAAGGAATTTTCTGTTGCTGTGCACGCTGACTTTGGTGCCATGTTACTTGATGACATTGACTCTCAACATTTGAAGGGTTACTCTATCAACGAGGAATGCCATGAAGAGCTGGGATTTGGTGGTTCTATTGTTTACCAGAAGTTTGTTCAGACTGCATACTGCGGGTCGCCGAGGTCTATTCTGAAATGTTTTAGCAATGAGGAAGAAGAAAAGGAGTAGCGTCTAATAATTTGTTTTATGGGTTTGCTGTTATTCTGTTTGCTTAGTGCTCAATGTTACTTTGTCTGTCGTTTGGTCTTTGAACTTCTGTTGTGTGTTAAATGTCATTTGACATCTTATCTTAATATTAATGTTGCTGAATAAATTGTGAACTGTTTTGTTGGTATTGATATGTTGGTTATATTGATATATATTTTATGTTGAAATGCTTTGCTATGATGCTTTTCATTTATCCTCAATTATTTGGGGAAGGTGCTGCAAATAGTGTTCATACTCGATAGAATCACGGTAGCATTTAAGACAATCTTTGGGGATAATTATAAGCTTAATAAATTGTAGTGAGAAAGGGAGGAGAAAATATATGCATAATTTTGATCCTTGAACAATCGTTATGCACGGTGGTTGAAGTACAGACCGATGAACAATCATTAATGTAAAAAGAAAAAGAAGCGAGTTCGTGGGTCATTTTATTCTCTCATATCCATCTTTTTTAGGCTCTGACCAAAGAGTCATTCAACCTCACGGAGTGCAATCAGCTCGCCCGCCACCACCAATAGGTCATGTACTCTCTCTGCCTGGGCTACTGCCACTCCATTCTTCTCGAATCGCCACACAATAAAAGGTCCAACTGCTTCCAAATTTATTTTGCAGCCCCAAATAAGCGTTCGCGCATAAAAAACAACGCTTGAATGTTGACTCCACTACCCCACACCGGATACAGCTGCCCTTATTAATTGCAAATGACACCTGACCAATAGTGAAAACTTCTAGATACGTATCCTACATTTTAATCGAATTCTTTTTAGTTAAAAAACCCATTTCTGGTTGCTTTCGATTTAGTTAAAAAACCCATTTCTGGTTGCTTTTGAACAATTAAGAAATTTTCTAAAAGAAATACACGGGATTCGATTTCTTGCGCATCATGATGGGTCCCGATTATGGGGATAAATCAATAGTGATTTGTACAAGCTAAATCTTCTACTCGATAATTAGGCCAATAAACTGAGTTGGCGAAGAATTATGGAATAATCGATTGTTAACACTTTGAATTGAATAAATGTAGTAATCACCACTAGAATAGTGACGCCTTAAAGAACAAGTGTGTGGTTGTAAGAGTACTAATTAAGGCTCGATACTTGGACAAGATGTTAGCAATATTTATTTATTTATTTATTTTTATTTTTTTGTGCTTTTCAAATAGATATTATTACCGAATAGAGTAAAATTCCAAGTACAAAAATTTTTAACAGAATGTATGAAAATGCTGACATGACAAAATGAGATTGGATAGTTTTTCTTTTTTCCCCATCTTCCAATGATGCCACATTGAGGGTCCACTTGATTGCAATGATGAAATTTGGGTGGAAAAAAAGAATTGAAGGGAATTGAATTGTATAGAATTTATTTTATTGGAAATTGTCAATTAATAGTATTTGATTGATATAATTTTTTATTTAAAAAATGTTAAAATAAAAGTCTTTTTTAGTGTTCGTTTAGCTTTGTTTTTCAAGAAAATTGTCAATTTAAAAGATATTCACTTTTACAATTGTTCTTAGAATTTGTTTCCATTGTCCAAAAAAAAAAAAAAAAATCTATATTTTGATTTTCCTTTGACTTTGTTTTTCATGAAAATTGTTAATTAAAAGGATAAATTTTTTTATAATTGATTTTCTACAAAATTATGGAAAAGGTACATGTGTGGGGAAAAGATGGAAAACGAATTCCATGGAAAACTTTTGTTATCAAACACACAAAATTGGTGGAAAATGAATTCCATTTTCCATGGAAAAAAGGGCCAATCAAACATGGCCGAAAAGATTTTCTGTCAAAAAATTATGTACTTGTAGTATGAATGTAACGAATAAGGATGCTCACATTCTTGTGCATTTATGTATTTTCTTAATGATACTAACTCAAATTAATAAAATAACATAAAACTAGCTAAATTTTTCTAATACATCGTAAAGCTAGATACAATTATCAAAGGCTAATGCAGTTCACACAAGAAAAGAATTCAAAATTCACATTAAATTATTTGAACTCTCAATTAGAGTAAATAAGAATGTTGTGAACATATATTGTAGTAAGGAATATGATACAAATACAATATGTCAAAAGATCTAGTGAAAGGAACTTCATGTATAAATTGCAGCACAGTTCATATTTGTTCATGAATGAATATGATTGAAGCTTGTGTAGAAGCTCGACGGAAACTCACCAAATCTACTAGCATATTTAATTTTCCCTCATTCAGATATGAAAGAGGGGTAATGCTCATCGTTCCAGGGCTCGGTGACAGTTTTCGCGTAAAAATTTGATCAATATCATTTCTTGTGGAACTTCAGATACATCAGTCATCTTTATGGTTTTCAATCGACTGAGACTTAGACTTGAGAGTGCAATCAACGAAGCATCTTTTCTTCTAGAAATCCAAATCAGAAGCTTGTATTGCAGCTGATATATTGCAGAAAGCGTACAGAAACAAATGGTTACACATCGTAAAACAGCTATGCATAATCAATAATATCCAGATTATTTTATATACAAAGCCAAAAGGTAATGTATGGTGAAGCATTTTCTTTGTCTAGTTATCAATCTTATAGTAAATGGAGATGGTTAATTTACCTTTGTAAAGTATATATGTCCAATAAGCCTCTCAAGCTGGGGAACGCCACCCTTGTTAAAATTGTAGCTTGAGCTCTGTTCAAAATGCTCTGCTATGTCATCGTTCATATACATAGCGACAGATATGAATACCAAAAGTTGAGTGTTCACAAGAAATATATCCTTGAATTCACCTTCCAAAGATAAGTACTTGAGATTTGGAGCAAAGACAGTCGATCCTAAACCATCGAAGTACGATAATGTTAGACTCTCAAGGAGAGGACAACTTGCAATGTGGCATTCTATATCATCTGGGGGAATCTGAACTTGTTGAAGATTGAGGTACTTCAAGCAAAGGAAACCATTACAATATGGTGAAGGGTCCAATTCACAACGAACAAGCTCCAAACGAATCAACTTTTTAAAAGAGAAAAGAAAAGATGGCACCCCAAACCACTCACTTTCTCCTAATTCAAGAACCAACTCTTTAATATCTTTCCGTGAAAGGAAAAGTAGCCACTGTTCTATATCATACGAGCTCTGCCAGTACATGGTAGATAGAGAGAACTTGTGAATCGGTCTATCATGAAGAAACAAAAACCGGGTAATAAAATTCACAATACTGTTCTCAACAATTGTTCTTTCATTACATAGGGTCACACATTTGTCATCAAATGCAAGCTGCGTTAAGAGTGGCCCATTTGTATCTCCATCTGCTTGAGAAAATGCTAGTTCTCACGGCATCCTTTATCAGAATCTTTGTGAGGATGGTTTCTATAATGCTCTGGGGCAGATCACTAATCAAATCTCTCAAAATCAATTATTAGTAATCAAGAGTCCATAAATCCAAACTATAAACAGTGACCTATCCTGCAATAATTTAAATCCATCATGCTAATTTCTCAACGGAACTCGTGAAAAAGATTTCTCTCAATTACCTTTTATTAGACAAGTTTCTTGAAAAATATGCACATGAAGGTTCGATTTTGATCATAACAAGACTCGAATATTTGGTGCCTGTGGTAACCAAAGATTATATGTCTCTGCCAATCTAAACTATGATTATTGATTGATTCATATTATTTAGGATAAACATCAAATATTTGATAGTCTAATTAACCTATTTTTCCTCAACTTCATCACCAACCCAATACAATAATCACGGATTTCTTGCATTCTTGTCCTACTTTTTTCAAATGGATCAAAGTAAGGGTAATTGGCACAAAACGTCATTACCTTTCAAGTCTATTGTGGAAAACGTCCCTCCCTTTCATTTTTTGACATTTTTGCCCTCATTTCAACCTTTCTTTGTGCTGGACGTCCTTCCGTCCATATTCCGTTAGTTTTTCCGTTAATTAAAGGGTAATTGGCACAAAACGTCCCTACCTTTCAAGTCTATTGTGGAAAACGTCCCTCCCTTTCATTTTTTGACATTTTTGCCCTCATTTCAACCTTTCTTTGCGCTGGACGTCCTTCTGTCCATATTCCGTCAGTTTTTCCGTTAATTAAATACAAAAATACCTTTTTCTTTCCATAAACAAGGATAAAATTGTCCTCACCCACTTCACCCCTTTTTCCCGCCATCAACTTAGTCCATAAGTAACAGTAGCAGCGACATGAATCTGAAAATACTTTAAATGATTAAGTTAAATAAAGAAAAAATATCGTGAACACATTATATTTCACAATTTCACAACTACTGTTGCTGTCATCTTGTGTTACTGGAAAATTTTAAAAAGACATATTAAATGGGTAGTCAATTTATAATGAGCCAAAATGGTGAATGGCTCTTTTTGGCTCAATGGAGAAGATAAATCGCTCATTTTAAATTGACTCATTATAAATTGACTACCCATTTAATATGTCTTTCTAAATTTTTCCAGTGACACAAGATGACAGCAACAGTAGTTGTGGAATTGTGAAATATAATGTGTTCACGATATTTTTTCTTTATTTAACTTAATCATTTAAAGTATTTTCAGATTCATGTTGCTTCTACTGTTACTTATGGACTAAGTTGATGGCGGGAAAAAAGGGTGAAGTGGGTGAGGACAATTTTACCCTTGTTTATGGAAAGAAAAAGGTATTTTTGTATTTAATTAACGGAAAAACTGACGGAATATGGACGGAAGGACGTCCAGCGCAAAGAAAGGTTGAAATGAGAGCAAAAATGTCAAAAAATGAAAGGTAGGGACGTTTTCTATAATAGACTTAAAAGGTAAGAACGTTTTGTGCCAATTACCCGAATGTTTAACGGAAAAACTGACGGAATATGGACGGAAGGACGTCTAGCGCAAAGAAAGGTTGAAATGAGGGCAAAAATGCCAAAAAATGAAAGATAGGGACATTTTCCACAATAGACTTGAAAGGTAGGGACGTTTTGTGCCAATTACCCATCAAAGTAATTTTCTCAAAATCTAATGACAACCCATTAAACAGAATCAGAATAAGAAAAATGGCAAATAAAACCGAGATCTCGACAAAACGAGTAAACTTGATGGGAGATCATACCGAAAAGCATTACAATTTACAATATAGAAAGCATAGAAAAATTGTAAAATACA